ATTACAGTGGGGGGGGATCTGTAGACTTAGTCTTGATGGTACCTAGAAACAAATAATTTTTCTGTAAAAGCAAGGAATCTTCCAAAAACCCATGAAATTTACATTTGAAATTAGTCAGGGAAAGTGCCGCTGCCAATGTCAGTCTTGTTTTACCCAAGTGTGAAGTGGTGACGTAAGCAAAACGAATCCCCTGGGGAAACTGGAAAAGAAAGGAATATCAGCAAGGAGCAGGTGTCGTTGTTTTTACTTTCTTTCACAATATATTTTGCGACAGCCATTTCTGTGTTGACATTTAAATTAACAGTGACTTGGGGTTACAGTACACAGTTATTAATTGGTAATTAATTTCGTAGATAATTCAGAAGCCAGAGATGGTCTATGGAGTGATGATTAGGACACAGATTATTATTCAGTTGAATAATATGTCTATTGTCACAAAAGTTTTTAAGTTACAGTTTTTAGGTTATTTTTACATGTTTTTATCACGTCTGTGCATGCATGCACATGTGGTGGGTGGGTGGGTGGGGGGAGTGTCAAGGATAACTTTCAAGAGTCCAGTTCTCTCTTTGTACCTTTGTCCCAGGGATCAAATCTCAGGTCATCAGACTTAGCAGCAAGTGCCTCTTACCATTTCAACTATCTTACTGGCCCTAAAGTGATATTTCTATCATCTTATATTAGTTATTTCATCATCATATATATATATATATATCAGAACCAAATGAGTAAAAACACCGATAACGACGTTAGTCATTTTGCGTATGGCCATTCACCTACAATGTACTTAGTAGTAAGACTTGACCTTCCTTCCTGCACACGCCTCATCTGTAAATCCAGAGAAAGAACTTATCCCACCGAGAAGCCTGTGGCGATAAATTAGAATTAAGATTACACGGGCCAGTGAGACGGCTCCGCCGCTAAGAGTGCACACGGCTCTCAGAGAAGACTCATAGATTCGTGTTTGGTTGCCAGCACCCATGTGACGCAGCTCACAACCACCTGTAACTCCAACTGCCGAGGACCCCACAGCTCTGGCCCCTGCAGGTACCCATACTCACATGTGTGCACAAGAGTGCACATGTGCATGCTCACGCACACAAAGAACATTTAAAAATAAATAAACAAATAAATCCTTTTTAAAAGAACCCCATACTCATGCTTGGATATGTCTTACTGAAGAGAGAAGGAGGGAGGTAACATAGGAAAATGCACTTAGATACTTAGCAGGGTGGGAATTAAAATTTAAGTCAGGTTGATAAGTAAAAAATGATTGAATATAGGCAGTGTTATTAGATTCAACATAAGGCGGTATGAGCTTCTGTTAGAACTGTAGGCTAAATGTATATTTTTAAAGCAAAAAATCTTGCTGGCATTCCATTTCAACTGTTTTGTTTTGTTCTCTCTCCATTTGGTTCCTTCTTGGAAACAGAAGGAAGAAGGTCCTGGACCCAAATAGATTCAGCAGCCAGGAGTGCACAGTGATGTAGAGTCCATTGGAAAGAATTCATGGGCCACACTAACCTTGGGATTCCTGGGCACGGGGGCAAGTGAGATGGAAACTGCTAAGGCCTCTGGGTCAAGCCCATCTCTGGCAGTTGCTCGTCTATAGCGTGGGCGTGTTTGGAAGAGTATTGTGTGTACAGAGAGCCTTTTCGATCCACCTTATCAGGGAGCCGATGGACATAGTACACCATCAGCTGTCAAGCTTTGGAATAATGTCAGCTCACCTTCTTAGCAGCCACCTGTGAGGACCCCAGTGCTGACTTACAACCATCTTCTACAATAAATTGCACCAAGCCCTGACCATGCAGGTACACGGCCCATCTGTTCACACACACTGCTTTGTTTGACCTGCAGCCAGAGCTCTAACATAGGTACCTGGAAGAGAGGTCATGGCCAGTGTTTTCACCCTCACTGTCTTTATTATCAACCCCACAGACATAATGAAACCTCTGAGCCATGTGCCTGACGCCTTGTCTTCCCCGAGGGTCAGTTCAGGCCCTCAAGACGGGCCTGTTGCTGTCTGTCTTGGACCTTCTGCCAATCAGGACAGAATTTGTATGCTCAACAAAGCCCAGGAGAGTGCTCTCTCCCTTTCTTCTGAGCAGGACACTGACTCTCGGTCCTTAGCCTCCCTCTACCCCCATAGTCTGTAGCCCTCCACAGAACAGCAGCGGTCAGTGCTCTGGAACCTATGGTTTCCGACCATAACCCACGGAGACAGCTGGAACCTTGTAAAGACTGTTATGGTGGTATTACAGCTTCATGCTGCAGGAAATGCAGATGCCGCAGTCTAATGCACTATGGAATTTCTAATTTATCGTCTTACAGCTGTCAGATTCTTTAAGTAGAACTGATTTTTTAAAAAATGCATCAATTGAGTTCTTATAGCAGAAAACAATTGTAAGAGGACTTACAGCGACTTAATGTTTTGAGGAGTTTTATTCAACGGGAACTTTTGTGTGGAGTTTGTTTGAGGGCACCCATTCTGGAGTCCTGTTGTCGGATGAATGGATGGTTTCTTGACAGACTCAGTTTTAGGGTAATGGCTGGGTCATGTAGAAACACATGCAGCCTGCAGATTTATTCTCTCCATTTTATTGTGGCGTGATCTCTCAAATAGGCTAGTAATTAGACCTGCTGGTAGCTTTTCCATATGAGAAATGGCACTTCAGTTATTCACGCTGATCTGTAAACGGCCTGCTTTATCTCAGTTTATAAAGCATTTTCTAACAGGTTCTAACTACACAAAAGGAAATGGAAAGACTAAAAGGATGAGATGATTCTGAAGCAAAGGTCACTTGTGCTGAACGGTCTATCCGAATAATTATATGTACCTTAGTTCATTAAATGGCTGTGTCAGTTATTGAGCTGATTTTGATTCGCCCTGTGTTAATCAGAAACACAGAATGCTTTTGTAACTTGTTTTAAGTGGACTCTACTCTCGCTGCTCCAACGCCTTCCTGTATTTATACATATGCATCCCCCCGTTAGCACTAAGGAGGTGGGCACATTCCTTGCCAAACCTCCAAACATCCTTGCACAGCCAGCGGTGCTTATGGGTGCTTTAAAAGGACACCGGCTGAAACCTGTTCCCAGAGGTCACACCAAGGCTAAGGTCGTTGGCATGGATTTATGCGGAGGCTCGTGTTACAGCTGTCTGCACTGTCCCTTGCCTGAAGACAAATAGCAGACTTTCGTCTCCCCTGCTACTGGTCACTCAGAGCAAACGCTTAGTCTCAGCTTTGACCCTCTCCAAGCTCAGCCTCCAACACTTCCTGTGCCATCTCTCTTTCTGACTCCTGGCCTTCAACTCCTGCTTCCCAGACATCAGGGGCGCTAGTCCCAGACAACGTCTATCTTTGAAAGCACCTACATATTATAAAGCATAGCTATACCAACCCAAGGATGCATCAATCGTAGTGTTAACAGATTAACACTTTTCACACCAGTCAAATTAACAATGGTGTTTACGTTCTCCTTAATAGACAGTCCAGTTAAAAGATAACCCCTAAGTCTGGAATGAAGAGTAGATTTCACAAGGCTGGCCCAGAAGGTAGAGTGTTTGGACAGGCAAACTTCCTGGTCTCTGGGGTGACAGCAGATCTATCACCCATTTTTTCTCCTTGTCACCCCAGGCAGACCATGTGGCTGCAGCACTTGCTACCCCTGCCCCTGCTGCATAAGGTTTCCTACTGGAGAATGTCTAGACTCCCAAGACCCTCACATCGGCACTGCCTCTCTGAGCTGGAGATCTCTGTGAAACTGGAAGCAAGTGGCCCAGACCTATGGAGTCACCACCATACAGCACGCCCTTGAGTTAGAGTTAAATCTCAGTAACAGAAATGTGTGTGGGAACAGAGTTCCCCGGTGAAGAATGCTTCTAAGGCTGGACCCGAGCATGACGGCTCATAGGGGCTGTGGACAGTTGAAGAACAGTAGACCCCCTATTGAGAGTCTCTGGGGAAAGGCCAAGAACTCTGGTGAGGCCTTCGTCCAGGTCTCCATCTGAGTCCTGATGGGGGTCGTCACTGTCCTGACCTGACTTGACAGGTGGTAAAATACAATACAGTCACTCTGCTCATCTGTCCAGTATCCTCAGAGTCATGAGCCTGCTCTGCAGGTGATCTAGGAGGGGTGGACAAACTATATGACCTCCCAGGGCAAAGTAGCAGTCCATGCGGACAGGTGCAGGCAGAGATCTTCACAGTGCTGTATGAAGTAGGAGAGCAACTCCCCCCTCATCCCAGAGACAGGGCAGACACAGGCTCTTTCCCTTCCCACCTGGACACCCCCCCACCAGTGTCAACACCAGGCAAGAGCCCTCACCCCCCCCCCATTGTCTCATATAAAATTAGACCTACAATATCAATATTAACTACCACTTAGATATCATGCCTCAAAACACTAAAAAAGGAAATCGCCCTGCAAGCATTCAGCCCCACGGGAATGCCACAAGATAATGTCCACATAGCTTGAGGTCGCCACATCAGAGATCATGACAAAACCCACATTTTCCTGTTGATTTATTATGACTGCAGTTCTCACAGTGAACCAGAAATCTGGGAAACCCGCTAATAGCAAAGTTCCTGAGGTTAGAAAAGGCAAGAGTTAGTGGCGGCACAAGACAGAGCCGTCAACCAGCCATCTGGCCACAAGTGGGAGAACGAGAACATTCACTTAGGCAGGCCTGCCGTGGGTCCGAAGGCAGGAAGATGAAATTACTGAGTGTGAGCTTGAGCTAGAAACTGCTGGCACATGACATCCTACAGCCAAGGACTGTCACGTCCTGGGCTGCACAGAGAAACCGCTGCCTAGTGACAGTGCATCACATAGGTGATCACACCGTGTTTTCGGCCAATCCGATCACTCGGCTCTTGAATCCAGCATGACCCAAGGATTCCACAGCTGTGTTTTAACACCACTGCAACCCTTTGAGATTGCAGAGTGAGACTATTTTACCAAACACCAAGGCAAAAAGTAGACGACAAGGTGCTCACCCGGGTCTCTCCCTGTCCATCCGAGAGGAGAGTTACATTGTAGATAATCTGCCATCAGGTAGGAGCTGTGTATCTGCAGTTGTAACGACCAACATGTTTAGTGGCTTGTTACAGCATTAAAGACACAGCACGCAGACTCATTTATCCTCGCCTCCATCCTTTGGGTGTGGTGTCACGGCTGTTTCAGTCAGAGAGAATTAGCAGCAGGCTGTACGGGGCTGGGAGGCAGGGCCATTGCAGGGTCAACAAGCCGACCTGCATCCCCTTGCCCACCCGCCAGCCTATCATTTTATTTCCATGCTCTCTGTGTCCGCACTCGTTTAGGCAGAGTCCTGATTCAGAAGAAAGCGACCGGGGACACTAAATTCAAGAATCTCAGGAGATAAAAATGTGGCTCAGACAAATAAACATTCTTTATTCAAAAGTCTCAAACGTCAGCTTGTTTCACTTATCAGTACTTCCAAAGAGCTCTAGTGTCCATTCTTGTGCAAATCCAATTTTGCTGTGGCAAATTAAACGGTCACATTTTAATTTTCCTCCTCAGATTCTCTCTCTCTCTCTCTCTCTCTCTCTCTCTCTCTCTCTCTCTCTCTCTCTCTCTC